CTCGTTTTTTTTCTTTTCCTTTTTTTTTTTTATTTTTTTATGGAACTTTCTCCCGTTCCTTTCGATCAACTGGGGCCACCGTCTTGGCCCAGTTCGAGACTGAAAAATGCAGATTGTTGAAGCGTGCTCCTGGGACAAGCTCCTGTTTCCACGATGCAAAGATGCGTTTCTTTCCACGGGGCTTCCCCTTTCGATCCATCCATCTCCGATATCCTCCCCCATCACGATTCCTCACTTTCTCGATTTCGATTTGGTCCTCCACAATTTTAACGCTTAATTTTTTTCGTGGATGATATTCTTGATGGGGATGTTGTTATTTATGATAATGATAATTTTGCGAATCATTCGTTTTAACCTTGGAGGAAGGAATAATTAAAATAATTAGAAAATTGTTGAGATGACGTTGGAAATAATTAGGGAAGCAATATTGAATTCGAATTTCCTTCTATATTGCGATTATTCAACATATGAAAGTTTATTTTTATTTTATATTTTAATCATAATTTTAACGGAGAAAGAAAAGAGATAGAGAACTAACAAAAAATTGAAGAACAATTATTAGAGATTGGAACAATTCAAGTTACAAATTGAATTTATTATTGGTGTAATCAAGATGATCTTTTTCTATATATGCAAAAATATAAATAATCCTAATTAATTAAAATCATTTACATTTCCCTTACATTACGTTAATGTCATGATCGAATTTCCACGAATAAAATAATTTCTGACTGATATTTAGTTGGAAACAACGAGAAGAGCAAGGTATTCGAGCGTAAAAAGCAGGAAAACCGCGAGACAATTTTCAATTAAAAATTGATTTACGGTACATTTCTATTTTTCAGATTACTTTGACTTATTTCATGGTCTTGATTTTTACTTGCGGCACAATTTCTGGAAAAATGTTTCCCGCCCAGCTGCAGACAACCCGTTCTTTTATTTAGTATAGTCACGGTACTCTCAGGCGGAATTAAAAAATAATTCTCCCTCGCGAGATCCCTTCTGTTCGAGGTACGAGCCATTCCTTCTCCTCCTCCTCCTCCTCCTCTTTGCTCGTCTCCTTGACTTTCTTTTATCCTTCTGTCTTCGACTATGCTTTTTTCACCATCATTTTTCTTCCCTTGCTTTCGAACGATCGTTCGTGATGTTTAGATAACGAGAAGTTTACCAATTCTAATTTGGCTTAATCGATCTCGTTCGTTTTAAGAGAGATTATAAAATTAGAATTTTTCTTCTTTTTTTTTTTCGAAATGATAGAAGGTTTTTTTTTGCAATGGACAGAAATATGATTACGTTTTTCTCGTGGACGAAATGAATCGTGATTTTGATGACGAGCATCGATTTATTTGACTTCTTTTTAATATTTTATGTGCCAGACTTTTAAATAGACGTGAAATATTCCTCATCAATAATGCATTTATAGTAAGCTTAAATATGCAAAAATATACAGAATGCATAAAATATGCAAAATTATACTAAATAAATTCATATATAATATTTAGAGAACGAAGTGAATTCTTGTCACGTTCCATTTCTTCATTTATGTTCGTAAAAATGTGAATAAACATCATAAGTCTACTCATCGAAAGTAGATGATAATAAATAAGTATAATCAAAATACCTATTATTTTATAATATAAATTCATATTTTAAGGAATTCCTTCTTGAAGAATTCCATAATCTAATTCAACCTTTGCAAAATTTTATATATTTTTTGAATCGTAATTTATTAATTATTAAAATTTTCTAGCAGACCTGATTTTAGCCTATCTTTTTTAAACTTCAAAATAAAATGACCATTGACCAATCTATTTATGATATCTTAATATTCCATCAACTTCCATACACGAAGCATTACGTACAACAATCCATCATCCAACTATTCTACCCCAATAACCAAATAATTATCAGAAACAAAAAACACAAACCAATAAATCTTATTATTATAAATTCTTCTTCCTTCTTCATACGCAATCGACTCCATACGTTCCACCATTATAATTGCAAAATAAACAATATTATAATTACAAAAATGACAACCTTAAATTATATACAATTTCAGCCACGATCGAAACCTAAAAAAAAAAAAAAAAAAAAAATAAAAATACAAAAAAAGCAACCCTTAAATATAAACAATTTTCACCCCCAACGAAACCCAAAAAAAAAAAAAAAAATAAAAATACAAAAAAAGCAACCCTTAAATATAAACAATTTTCACCCCCAACGAAACCCAAAAAAAAAAAAAAAAATAAAAATACAAAAAAAGCAACCCTTAAATATAAACAATTTTCACCCCCAACGAAACCCAAAAAAAAAAAAAAAAAAAAATCAACCGCGATACTCTCGACATTTTCCATCCGTGTCAACCGGATATCCGGTATCCCATAATTTTTCACGGCGTGGCCGCGTCTACTTCGCCTCGAAGCGACAGATTACGTCGCGTTTCTCGTTACTGTCGCCCCGAAGGCGTGTTTTTCAGCCCGTGTCGTATGAATATACAATCAGACACGATCGACCTCGCGCCGTTCCAATCCACCTCCAACAGAGATTAAATTTCGTGAAAAAGCACGTGTGCGAAAATCTACGTACCCCATCTTATTTGACCTCCTCTTCTATCGATGCAGCCTCCGTTTCGCGCCACTGGGGGTCTCTGGTGGTCGTGATTCGAACGGTAATTACGAATTAACGTGGCGTCTTAAAGAGGGCGTTAAATCGAATGCTCGTGGGAGGTTTCATCGAAATTATCTGTGGGGAAAAAACGATATTAGAATGATTTTGTGGCGATTGATAAACGCGTGAAGTTTTTCCAAAAAAAATGTGGAAAATAATATGATAATAAAGAGAGGATGCTCTTTTATTTATTTTTCTGTAATTTTTTTTTTTTTTTCTTTTAAAATTTCATTTCTGCAAAATTCCATAGTATACTTTATCAGAATTCTGTTACACGATCCTTCGAAATTCCATTTCAGTTATCTTTAAAATTTCGTCCTCCTAGTCTCCTCAATCTCATTCTATATTCACTTCATCCCTCTATGTTTCTAGAAAACACTTCGATATTCTATCCTTTTATGGATTTAATATTATTCATATTATTCAAATAAATTTTAAATAATCATTATATTTTTAAAAATTATTATAAATTAAATAACAATTAATCATAAATCATATTTACTTATATACATATAAATAAATTGAATAATATAAAGATTATTATAATATATTAAAAATTACCACAAATTGGAATATACGTTGGTAATAAATATACCAAATAATGATGATTTAGTTCGCTTTGAAAATTTTATTACAAGAGAACGACAAACTTTGTATATCATTTTAAATAAAAATGAATGAATATTGATGTAAAAAAATTAAAAAGAAATCGCTTAGACCAAATCTAAAGATTTTTCTGGTATCAATAACTTCATCTAATTATTCGCAAAATCTTTTATTCCTAAATCCTTTATACTATCTTACTCGATGAATTTTAATTTTTTAACATGTGATGCAATCCTGGCATTATTCCGCGCTATAAATCGCGCTTGAAGCTACAACGAAAGCTAAATCTTTTTTAATCCCAATGGAAATTTTTGGTTCTAAATATAACGAGTTTCACGGTAGATGAGGATCTAACGAAAGATTGTTGAAATCGGGTGAAGAGAGGAGAATTTCCCTGGTGGTATGCGACAGTGAAACTTAATTTCGCCCATTATTTAATTTCACTTATTTGAATAACGTCGACAAGTTGAATTATTTTAATTGCTTA